TTTTTTTTTTTTTTTTTTTTTTTTTTTTTTTTTGGCAGAAGGGTTGCTTACTGAAAAGCTCCATAATTATTTATAAACGTGTAAAGAGATGCCTGTAAGACTGGGGTAATGGTGGGATAAAGCTAATGGTGCCCTCTGAAGTATCCCACAACAAAGAAGAAAGGCACAACTAGCCTGCCTGAGTGGACTCTGGGATTGAAGGTCACCCTCCTGGTCAGATGACTGGACTGTACAAAACCACAGCTCAGGCCCACCACAGGCAAGGCTACTTACTTTGAATGGCAAAGTGAGCAGGATTCAAACTTTCCCTTTCCTTACACAAAAGGAAGGAGCTGTTTGTCTCTGGGATGGGCACATCCCAGTGTAATTTGGCAAAGCATCTCGGCAGCCCTCTCAGATGTCAGATTAGGGCAAAACTGGAAATGCATCTGCCCGGTACATCTTGCGTTGATTACTTGTAGCGCATGTTTCTGATTCATTTGCACATAACTCATCCAGGGGGTGTTGTAAGAGCTATGTGATGGCCAAAGGAACCCAAGGAGACTTTTATTATGTTTTTTAAACAAGTTTCTCTACATCGATTGTCTCTCAGAGCCAAGAAGCTGCATTCTTCCAGCCCCATGACAGACAGCAAAACTAGGCTCCATAAATCCAAGAGCAAGTTCTAACCTTGGTTCCAGGACAATCTGCTCTGCCCCGAGGGGTGGTTGTGGAGTCTGCAGGCTGGGGCTGGACTGAATGAGTGAAAATCATAGCTGAGGCAGCCTGGTCTTGAGGACCCTGTGCTCACATCCTGATGTAGCCTGTGGCAACCAGCCCTGCCAACACCTGTGACCTCTGCTCCCTTATACTCCTGAGGTAACACTTTTCAAGAGACAGTGTGGCAAAGTTGCTAAAACGCGTGGGCACTGGAACCAGATTCCCCATGTCAGCCACTTAGTAGCTCTGTCACCTTCTGCAAGTTAATGTGTCTGTGTGCCAGTTTTCCCCATCTGTAAAAAGCTACCTGTTGCTATCTAGCTACCACCCCAAATTTAATAGCTTGCAGCCATGACCATCAGATGGCTGTGGTCAAGAATTTGAGCAGTGCTCAGCCAACAGAGCTTGTCTCAGCTCCATGTGGTGGTAGCACGAGTGGCCCACCTCGGGCAGGAGGACACACACGGATGGCTCACATGGCCAGGGCCTTGGGACTGAACATGACTGACCTCAGCCTGGTGCCTTGGCTTCCCTCCACGTGGCCCTTTATGTAGTCTCTACATATGCAGTGGTCCAGGCTGAGCTAGCTTATGCAGTGATTGGAACACTCCAAGAGAATGAAAATGGAAGCTGCGAGACCTTTTAATACTTATCACCATTCTGTTCCTACCCATTGCATGCCAGCCCACATTTCCAGGGAAAAGTAGACTCTACCCCTTGGTGGGAAGTGTGGCACACACTTAGGGAGGGAAGAGATGTTATTGAGAGTTAAAAAAATTAATATTGACGGAGCTTTTAGAATAGCACCTGGGGAAGATTTTGTATTCAAAATACACTTCATTATGCTTATTTTAGAGTCTCTTGAAGAACACATACAGTCCATGCTGGCTACTTCTTGAATGAAAGGCTTCTCACCAATTTGGTCATCTGTAAATCAGGGACCCTCCTGATGGACTGTCTTCTCCCGACCCAAGGCCATGTCCCAGCTAGTGATGGAATTCATTTGGACCATCCCTGGCAGTCTGTATCACCATGCGAGCTCAGCATTCCTTCATGAGGGTTGTGTCCTTCAGTTCCCTCTGCCTTCTCAGACTTTCTTCCAAGGGTCACGTAGCTTGGAGCTGTTTACTCCACATTGACCCCGGCCTGTTCTGAATTCTTCAGGTCACCATAGAGGTGGTCGATGGTCCTGACTCTGAAGCAGATAAAGATCAGCATCCGGAGAATAAGCCCAGCTGGTCAGTGCCAGCCCCTGACTGGCGGGCCTGGTGGCAGAGGTCCTTGGCCTTGGCCAGGGCAAACAGCGGGGACCAAGACTACAAGTACGACAGTACCTCAGATGACAGCAACTCCCTCAACCCCCCCAGGGGATGGGACCATCCGGCCCCAGGCCACCGGACTTTTGAAACCAAAGAGCAGCCAGAATATGGTGAGTTTACCACCCAGTAATATGCAATTGGCGGGGAGAGTAAATGAGGGTGATGAGGCCTAAGGGATATTGAGCCAAGCAAAACCCAGTTTACAGCATGTGGCTTTTGGTCTCCTGAAAGGCATGCCTTGTAAAGGCTCTGTTCCACAGAAGCCCCAAGGAGGTACCAGAAGCCACAGTTTTCTGGAAAGACTATAATTTTTAAATCATACCAATTATCCAAGGAGAAACTTTTTTTAGGGTCTTTGGGGTTCTTTCTGCCTTTCCCCCCAAATTTTAGAAATCCTTAATTTAACTTTCTTACAACTTTCACTGTAAAAATTCACATTAAAGATCAATTTAGTAAAAGAGATATAGACAGCTGCTTCCTTTGACCAGGCAACTGTGTTATGTTTGACATTGGCAGTCAAATGGCCCTTGGGGATACCCACAGCAGGTATGTCATAGGTCATCAAAATAAGTGTGCCCCTCTGGTAAATTTCATACCCCCAAGTTGGGACTTCTAGTTCCCAGTGTTTTTAAAGTACAATAGGTGAGATAACAACTTCTAAATTCAGTAATTTAAAACAATAAAAGTTCATTTCTCACTTGAGTTTGGATGGGAGGCAGGGTAGGAGAGCTCACCTCCACTTAGCCATTCAGGGATCTAGCCTCCTCCCACCTTGGAGCTCTACCACCTGTTCCTCTGCATCCAACTAGTAGCCAAGAAAAAAGAGGGAGCCTGGAAAAGCCACCACATTCTTACCCCTCTTAGCCTGAGGAGGGGGTGACATGCATCAGATCTACTCAAATTCTATTGGTAAGACTTGGTCATATGGCCCCACCTAGATGCAAGAGATTCTGAGAAATTATTTTGTGTGTCCAAGAAAAAAAAGGAAACAAATTTGGCAAGCTTCTGGCCAGCCTTGGTGGGAAATTAGGCAGAGCATTATAAGAATATGTGATATCTCACAAATGCACCCATCATCATGATGTTCTGTGGCTTTATCATCCATTGGTGGACTTAGTAGTAAACAATGTATGAAGAGGATGACTTGTCTTAGTCATTAGCCATTGGCGTGCTAATCTTTACTCCCTTTTTCCAACAGAAAGACTGGTTATATATTGGAGAATCGTTTCTTCACATTAATAGATGATTCTAGGCAACTTCTGGAATAGCAAGACAATTTTTTTTCTAATGACATATTTAGTTGATCAACCAGCATTCTTCAATAGCATGTCTTGTGTCTAGCACCATGCTAAGTACTGAGAATCAAAAAATGAGCAAGACACATTACTTCCACAAAGAGGATCTCACCCATCTGTGGACAAAGGGAGAAAATTAGTTGATAGAGAAAAATTGTGCCATGATAGAGACATACATTGAATGCTAAGGCAGCAGAAAGGGAATACTACACCTCTTCCAGCCAGGAGGCTAGTGAAAGAAACCATCGCTATTCCCAGAGGAAGTCCAATATATCTATTTCCCAAGAGGAATTATTGAGCATAGCAGCCAATAGATGTATAGTGATTACCATGTCCTTCCTTCTTCATGGCAGTTCACATACATTATCTCCTTAAATCAATCCTCTGAAGCAGATACCCCATTTTACACATGGGAAAACTAAAGCCTAGAGAAGTGAAGCAATTTGAACTTTAAAATGTCTATTTGGCTCACAATTCTGATGTCTGGAAAAGTTCAGAATTAAGCATCTATGTTTGGCAAAGGCTTCAGGCTGCTTTATTTGGGAATAGAGGTAAAGGGGAGCCAGTATGTGCAGGGATCACATAGTGAGAAAGGAAGCAAGGTGGGGAAGGGGGAGATTATGTTCTTTTTAACACCCAGCTCTTTCAGGAATTAACAGATTGGGAACTCGTTCATTTCCATGAGGACGACACTGAGCTATTCATAAGGGATCTGCCCCCATGAACCAAACCCCTCTGATTAGGCCTTACCTCCAATAGTGGGGATCAGAATTAAACAAATGGTTCAGGGAGACAAACATCCAAACTATAGCAGGGAGTTGAGTGTATCTTGAAATGAATGCTTGGGTTGGAAGATAGGAATGGGAGGAAAAGACTAGTGATGCTGAATAAGAGAAACACAGAGAATGCCTGGATGCCAAGCTGAGATTGCTTAAGCTGTTTGCCCAGCCCACACAGAGCACTGTTTCTAAAAGTGGGGCTCAAATACTTGGCATCAGAATTACTCATTGCATGTTAGAAAAGGGGTCCCAAATCCTTCCCTATCTACCATTAGTCCTCAAAGTGCAGCCTCCAAACCAGTATGTTTACTGGCCATTAGTCTATCTTCTTTTGAAAACCTTCTTTTCATGTCCTTTGCCTACTTTTTATTGGGGTTGTTTGATTTTTTTTTTCTTGCCTATTTGCTTAAGTTCTTTATAGATTCTGGTTATCAGCTCTTTATCAGATGGATAGCATGCCAACTGTCTTCTCCCACTCTGCAGGTTGTCTATTCACACTACATATTGTGTCCTTGGCTGTGCAGAAGCTTTTTAATTTAACCAGGTCCTATTTGTTAGTTTTTGTTGTTGATATGATTCCCTTTGGGGTCTTCATCATAAGTTCTTTGCCTACACCAATGTCTATAAGGGTTTTTCCAGCATTTTCTTTAAACCAGCAGCATCAGTAGCACCTGTGCTGGAATGTGATAGAAATGCAGACTTTTAGGCCTCGCTCCAGACCTACTAAATCAGAAACTCTGGGGTATGACACAGAAATCTGTTTGAACTAGTGCTCCTGTGGGCCCTGATGCATTGAGGTCAGTGGTTCTCAACCTCAGTGCTCATTATATTCCCCTGAGGAATTTTTTTTTAACTTCCCTTGACTAGATTTCTCTCCAGATCAATTAAATTGGCATGTTTAGGGGTCAGCCAATATTTTTTCAAGCTCCAAGGGTTACTCTACTCTCCAGGTTGAAGGCCACTGCTCTCTGTCTCCTGAATGGAAAGGTCTAGAAGTGTGATTTGGAATCTGTTGTTTGCTTTTTTGTTAGTGACTTTGTTCATTCAGTGTCACCAGGGGATTCTCATGCTAACTTAAGTTGGAAGACCACCAGCAGGGGTGTCCAACCATTTTTCTTTCTTTCACACTTTGGAAAGATAACAGTTGTCTTGGGCCGCACATTAAATACACAAACACTAACAAAAGTTAGGAGCAAGAAAAAAATGTCTGAGCCTAATTTTTGTAATATCTGACACCCAAGATAAGCATAAAAGTCCTCATATAATCTGCATGTGGCCCCTGGGCAGTGGGTTGGACACCCCTAAAACTTTCACAGAGTACACCTTGCTGAATTCATGAACATTAAGAATATCCCCTCTATTTCAATCCTGAGGATAGAATTTCCTTCTGTTGGAGCAGTTACTGTGACTCTCCAGCCACCCTCCCCACAGATTCCCAGACCTGGGATACCTGTGGATCTCCTGGCATCAGGATTTTCCAGCTTGCCTGGGCTGCAGAGAAGCTCCTACCTTCTATAATTTGGAAGTGCCTATTAATATCTTCCCCATTGTTAGACTAGATATCAGGATTGCTACTATATAAAGAAAATCTTCTCCACACAGTGCCTATCAGATGTTAATGTGCACACAAACAGCCTGGGGTCTTGTTAAAACTGTGGTGCAGTCTCCGGGCTGGTAGCACAGTGGTTAACGGAGCCAGCCAGATATATTGAGGATGGCAGATTCAAACCTAGCCTGGGCCAGCTAAACAACAATGACAACTGCAACAAAAAACAGCCAGGCATTGTGGCAGGCATCTGTAGTGCCAGCTACATTTGAGGCTAAGGCAAGAGAATTGCTTGAGCCCAAGAGTTTGAGGTTGCTGTGAGCTGTGACACCTCGGCATTCTACAGAGGGTGACATAGTAAGACTCTATCTCAAAATAAAACAAAAAACAAAAACTGTGGTTCAGGAGGTGAAGGAAAAGGGCAGGAGCCCAGATGCAGCTGACTCTACCAGCCCTGCAACCATACTGTGAGTAGCAGGACTCTAAGCCCATTGGTAGGTGCTCAGCAGCATTTGCAGAATGAATGAATGATCACTGTTCTCAGAATAGCTCACAAAGGGGCATGGGATTTCCAGATTTTCATACAGCATCAGATGAGCTAAGAATTCCCTCTTTTATTTCCATCAGCAAGAAACTATCATTTTCTAAATATGTATCCCTATATTGGGTGCTATTGTAGAGGACACAGGGAGAGAACATACCTCCCGGGAAGGTGAAGTTCACGTAACAGCAAAGCAAGTTCATGTATCTAAGAACTTGCTAAAAGACAGGCTGAAAATGCCACAGGAGCTGGCCTTTGCGGAGGAGGTAGATCTCAGAGTTTTGAAGGTCAGATGTATTAAGAATTTAAATGTTTGTGGGCAAGGTGTATTTAAAAAAAAAAAAAACTACATGACATTAAGAGGATTCAATGGCATCTGTTGAATGATTTATAAAATACCCAACAGAAAACAGAATTCGTGATGATAGAGAAACATATGTGATGATGCCATGAACCAGCTCAATTATAGAAAGTATGTGTATGTGTGCAGCCAAAGTGAGCACAATATAGAAAGTATGTGTTTGAAATACCACATTTTAAATACTCACTGGGTAGATACTTCAGGTATCCAGAGCAAAGAGAGAGTCCAAATAAATACTTCTCTGACTAACCTTCTCAAATTACTTAGAATAGACTACATAATGAAATTAGGTGTGCACTGCTTATTGTTACCTGGGTTAGTGTTCAGTTCTTTGAAATTCTCTAACTGACCCTGATCTTATTCTAATAGAAAATTTCACAGTGATTTTGTTTCGGAAGCTTTTCTTTGTGTTGTTCAATTTTGGCCACATAAGTAGGTATTGTAGAGAAGGGAGGCCAACTTGCAGCAGAATCAAAGCTTCTAGAGTACCAAGCTTTAGAATAGGATATGGTGAGAGCAGACAGACTTCAGATCTAATCCCAGTTCTGCTGTGTGCGAGCTGTGTGACTTCAGGCAAGTACCTTAACCTCTCTGAGCCTCAATTTCCTTTTCCATAAAAGGAGGCAGTTTCCACCTACCCTGAAGAGTTATTGTAGGAGGTAAGTCAGTGTGGATAGACAGAGGAGCTAGTTAAGCAGGGCTTCAAAACTTGGTAGCCACTATCATCTAGGATAGCGCAACAGGCCACGTTGAAACCTAAGTCACTTTAATTTCCAGGACACTATAACTGGCCCACAGATCTCTAGTGCCCTAAAGCTATCAAAGGACTACTTTAACATTTCAAATGACATCTTTGAAACCCAGCCTACTGCACTGAGGATTGTTTCCTCCCTCCTTAAACTCTTTGATGTCACAGCAAGGGGTTGTCAAAGCACTGTATAAATGTTCCCAGGAACTGTTTTTTCCTGTCATTGTTGTTATCTTTGCAATTATTGCTGCTCACATTCATTTTGTGCTTAGAGCAACACTCCCTGGTAGGTGAGCAAATAAGAACAGGCTTGTTTTATTATAGCAGAAAGGAATACTATCAGTTAAGTTTTGTCCCAGTCTTGAAACTCCCTTTCTGTCCTTTGAACACATTAAACAAATAGAAGTCCCAAAGAGGAGGGTCCTTGCCAGGATGGTGCTCTGGGCCAGCATGCTATGGAGGCTCTGGGGTGGTGAGCTCACATATACGAGTTTTCCTAAGAGAAAGATTTATTTCATTCCTATCCTTAATAGAAATGATTAACTGTACCTGTTCTGTGCCTAACTTTGGGGGATTCATATTGAAAGGAAAATCTCTGGAAATGAAATGGCTTTGTGAGCATGTAAAATTAAAAACATGAGCAAGCCATTTAACTGTGATAATAAATCCTTGATAGTTCCAGAGTCTGGCAGCTGTCTAGAGAGCATATTTTAGGGAGGATTTTATGGTGTATTTGCAACAGTTAGTTTTTGCTGCTTAAGAAACCATCCTCAAAATTTACTGGCTTAAAAGAACAAAAAGGCGCTCTCTCGCTCTCTCTCTCTCTCATCTGTGGGTTGTCTGGAGGTGAAAGAATTAAGAGTTCTCCCTGGCTGGAAAGGATAAGCCCTAGTGCAAGGGCACTTTTCAAGTCTCTGTACACATCATGCTTTCTGCTATCCCATTAGCCCAAGCATGTCATGTGGTCCAGTGGGATGAATGGAAGAGGAAATAACCATGGGCTGGATTTGGAGAGACCAAGAACATGAGCATCATTTCTCACATCCTCTGATTTACCATTAACATTTAATAATTTAGGGCTGAGAAACCAAAACAAGAAATTATGACACACAGAGATTCCAATGTAAAGTGAGCTGAAAACCAAAATCTCAAAGTTCAGGGATAATATTTCCCCACATTTGTTCTCTCTGTACTTTAATGGAGAAGCAAGGCTGCAGGAGATTTCATGGTGGTCGAGGACCCTATGTTTTTGACATCACTTGGTTGTATCTTATGCTGGCACCCACCCTACAGGTGATGTGAACGCAGTCTGCCTACCTGATTGGGTAAGCTTTTTCTGACTTACCCGCTTTGCCCTTTTTCTGAGTATAAAAACATTATTTTATATAATCTGTACCTGTGTTTTTATTTTTGTCCCCTCCCCTTGCTTTTTTTTTTTTGGAGACAGAGTCTTACTCTGTTGCTCCAGGATAGAGCGTCACTGTGTTATATAGTTCACAGCAACCTTAGACTCCTGGGTTCCAGTAATCCTCTTGCCTCAGCCTCCCATACACTGGCCAGTACCTTTATATTTTAAAACTTACAGAAACGCCCAGCTAGTTTTTCTATTTTTTTAGTAGAGTTCAAGCAGTCCACCTGACTTGGCATCCCAGAGTCCTAGGATTACAGGTATGAGCCACCACACCCGGCCGATGTTTGTTGCTTTTAACAAACTCTGGCCCCAGTGGTATGTGCAGGATGTGACTGAGTATGTGCATGTGTGTGTATAACCCACCACACCTGGATGCAGTTGTGTGATTCTTCTAGGCACGTCTATAGCGTTCTCAGGACTTTACCAAGACAAGCCAACTGCCCTTCCTGTTGATGCCCAACAAGAGATGGTAGAGAGGAAGGAAGCCCAGGCAAGGGAAGGCAGCCCAGTTCCCTGACACAAAGCAGTAGTTTCAAACATATGCTTGGCTATGTGGCTGGAAAACCATTTCTTAGAAGAAAATCAAAGTTTGGAAAACGTCTTGTGTGGGGAGGGGAGAGAAATGGATGGGGCCCCAGGGGCAGGTGATGTGTGAGCAAATTCTGGCTCAGAGTTAAGGAAAAGGACCCGACCATGAAGTTCCCCAGCCCCTCTGACTCTGTTGAGTGGGCTGAGGCAACTTAGAGGCTTGTGTTTGCCTAAGGAGCATTCAGAGTGAACACCACGTAAACAACAGCCGGGGAGGCTGGCACAGGCCCACAGTTCAGGTAGAAACATGTGTGGATGACATTCTTGTGGGGCCTACGTAGTAACAATAGCCATGGCCTGTTATGAACAGAGGGTACTCCCTCTCTGCAAGGCACATGCCTGTAGCTCCACACTTGGCACCAGCAGAGGCCCCAAGGCTGTAGGAAGAATTGGACAGAACAAGAGAGATTATCACAATTGAAGGTGTTGCAAAGAGAGCCAGGTTTTAGAGAGCAAGGCCTTCGTGCTAGAGCCCAGGGTCTCCTTCCTGCTAATCTGATGATCTTAGACAAGTCACCGAATCACTCTAGGACTTTCTTTTACTTTTGATAAGAGAAAGAAGTCAGTCTTGATAAAGTACCAGCCTGACTTGGCCTCTGTTTTTCCTTTTGCACACCATTCATCAACGTTTGACGTACAAAGCAATTTACTCCTTCTTTGTGTTTATTAATGATTGTTTCCCTCTTCTCACTGAAATAATTCATTTCACCAGAGTGGGGATCTTGGAAAGTTCTACTTAGTGGTACATCCCAAGTACCTGGGATTGTGCCTGACATATAATAAGGGTTCAATAAATATTCACTGGATGGATGTGGAAGAGTGACCTCAAGGGGCCATTTCTACCTTCACCATTAATCGTTTGGTTGTGTAACAAACCATCCCATTGGTGGCTTAAAACAAGAGCAGTATATTCTCATGATTTACTTCTCATGATTTTGTGGCCCAAGAGTTCAGGCAGGCCACTGGGAAGCTCCTTGACTCTTGGTGGCACCAGCTGCATTCAGCTGTCCACTGGGAAGTACTGGAAGGTTCAAGAAGGATTTGGTCATGTCTGGTGTGTTACTGGCCCTCTATGTGTCTCCTCCCTTTCCATGTGATGTCCCATAATTCACAGGTTTGGCCTGAGCTTTTTCATAGTAACTGGATTCCTTAGCACAAAGGCCAGAAGCTGCCAGTTTAGCCCAGATTCTCAAGAAAGGGAAATAAATTCATTCTCTCTTTTTCTCTCTCTCTCTTTGGAAGTGGTCATGGTCATCTTTGGAAGTGGCCTAACACATTATTCCATGATCCCATGTGCTGTAAACATGTGCCTTCTCCATAAGCCTTTCCTGGGCACCATCTAGGGATGCACTGATCACCACAGTGCCCCAAACTTTCCGCCCTTCACAAAGCAGACCGAGCCCTAGAGTCATAAGCCTATTAGCTCCAGCTGCCATCCGGTTCCCCCAATGATAGAAGTGAACAGTGGGTAGGCTACTTATTGGGGAGATCTGAGGACTATTTGGGGTAGGTTGGTGACCATCTCCCTGGCTCCCTTCCAGATTCCACAGACGGTGAAGGTGACTGGAGTCTCTGGTCTGTCTGCAGTGTCACCTGCGGGAATGGCAACCAGAAACGGACCCGGTCTTGTGGCTATGCCTGCACTGCGACAGAATCAAGGACCTGTGACCGTCCAAACTGCCCAGGTGCGTTTACCTGGGGGTGTGGCTCCAAGTTCAAGAGGAAGCTTTTACCTTTATATTTTAAAACTTATAGAAATTGTCTTTTTAAAAAGGCAGGCTTTTTCCTAATGAGCCTTCTGACTAGAGCAAGACAAGAGATAATTAATAACGAGCTTAATGGATGAAAAGAAGGATTTTCTGTATCTAATGCACAATTGTAATGGCTGTGACATAAAGGACAATGCTACTTTGTACTTATTTAATTTAAATGAGAGACTCTGGTTAGTTTGGGCCTTTGATGTGGGATTTGTTTTGTGCCTTGAAGAGACACATGAAGACCAGACACACATGGTCTGATAAGGAAGCCAGGATAAGAGGCTTGACAGACAGCCACAGAAAAACCACATAGTTAGCCTTGCTCGTTATTCTCACAAGTGCCAAAGACCCCTAGGGGAGCAAACTGGGGCAATGTGGCCATTAATTATCCCTCTGTACTGCTCTGTCAGTGCTTTAAAAGCTAAACTAATTGCGAACTTGGTGAGAGGTCATATGGAGAGTGAGCAATAATGATGACTGACTATAGGAGTTAGCCAACAGGCCAAGTCTGGCCTGCAAGCTGTGTGCGTATGGCTGATTCATTTTTAAAGGGTTGTGAAGAAGAGAGGAACAGGGTGAAGAGGAGAAGAATGAAGAGGAGGGTGGGGAAGAAAGAGGAAGCAGCATCTAAGACCATATATGACCCACACAATCTAAAATATTTACTCTCCGACCCTACAAAAAAGCTTACCAAGTCCTGGCCTATAATTTACTATGTGTTCCCCATTGCCAGGTAGAATACCAGCCTAAAATAATATCTTAAGCCCTTTCAAGAAACCACACATTCCTAATGGCTTCATCTGAAAGAAATTTCAAAGACAAAAATCCTGATGCCTGCGCCCACACTTCTTACTTCTACCCCTTCACATACTGTTCTCAAACTGGAGATCTTTGGAACAAAAGAAAAGTGAAAAGTTCAAAGGGTTTCTGAGGAGAGAGAGGAAGGATGAGATTGGAATGAATGTATTCATTAGCAAAAGGGCTGATGTAGAAAATAGGGCTGAAATGTAAGAAGTAGTGGTCTGGCTCTACATCTGCCGTGCAGATGGATTTCAAAAAAGTGGGGCATCCATGGAGATGTGCTTCCTGATCTTCCCCTGTGGGTCCTAACGAGCTGTGGTGGAAGTCAGATGGGTGGGATTTGGAGTAGATGTAAACCAATAAATAACAACAATATGAGGAAGAGGAAGAGGAGGACAGGAAGAAAATGAAGAAGGAAGAAAAGGAAACTTGGAAGAAAAACATAAGGGAGGGATGGTAATGAAGGTAAGAAGGTGCAGCAAAAGAAAATAAAGATGAAAGAGAAAAAGTAGAAAAGATGGTAATGAGTAAGATTTTTTAAGTACTTACCTATCAAGCAAATTTCTAAAATTATATGTATTATTTCATTTGGCCTTCACAATGGCCTCATGAGATAGGTATGCATCACTGTACTCTTGTGACAGCTGTGGACACTGAGGCAGAGGGAGTTAACCTGCCCAGAGGCACATGGATAACAGGTAGTCGATCCACAATTTGAATCTGGGCAGTCTGACTACAAAGTCCATATTCTTTTTTTGCAGGGTTTTTTTTTTTTTTTTTGGCCGGGGCTGGGTTTGAACACGCCACCTCCCGCATATGGGGCTGGCATCTTACTCTTTTGAGCCACAGGTGCCCCCCAAAAGTCCATATTCTTAACCATTAAACTCTCCCACCTGCACCAGAAAGAAGGGCACTGGGCTCAGCCACACATGGACACAGGCAGCAAGAATTTGGGCATTCTCCTTGTCTCCTGTCACCACTGAGAGCAGTGTGGCTGGCAGCCCTCTTCATACGTTTTCTTCCCATCTGTCCTTACCCTCCCTCCATCCTTTCCCTTCCTTTGTTCCTGACTATGACAACGTCTCAGGATTCCCCTGGAACACAAGGGATTTCCTTTTTCAGGATCTTTTTTTCTTACTTGGTTTATTGATCCTCAGCTTTACTGAAAAGATTCATGGGACAAAGTAAGGTCTTTCTGGTCTGGCAGTAGTTACACTGTGAAAGTTTTTCCCCTGGGTCAACCCTACGGATAGGTTTGTGGAGCCTCATATAAATAAAATCAGAGACAGTCCTTAAGGGAAATCGAATCATCCCCCAGCAGGGAAACCAAAACTCCCCATCAAATGTCCTCCCTCCCTCCACTAGCTCCTCTTCTTACTGCTTCAGCTTGCATGTGATTCCTGTTGGTAACAGAAGTCAGGCGATAGTTTAGAGAGTGACAGTGGGAGTTTGAGGAGTTTGGGCAAGCCAGAAAGTTTGATGAAAACTGGGTTCAGTTCTGAAGCATCATCGACAATCTAGATGTCCTAGAATATGAAGTACCTGGTTGTTGGCTATGGGCTACTGTATCTTCAATGCCATCAGCAGACACTTACCATTTACTGCCCTAAGCACTTTCTTTACATACAATGTATTTAATTCTTTCAACCCTCTAGTTGGGGGACAGATTTAGTTCTTCTCATTTTGCAGATGTGAAAACTGAGGCACATAGAACTTTGAAACTTAAATAGTTTGTCCCAGGTCATGTGGCTAAGAGTGATTTTAACCCAGGCAATCAGTCATTAAAAACAAGGTATTAACCAATATCATATACCTACTGCTTCTGGTTTAGTTTGTCACCCTAACACTACCAGAGAGCCATGCAGACATATGTCCCCCGCTGCCCAGGCCTAGTGACTGAATTCCTTAGGACTTATTCAGGCACATTTGGATCTGATTTTGTGGTGCAAATGGTATCTGGGGTTTTAATATATTTTATGCGCTGCTACCTGCTTTTTACTGTTTCCTCTGTTGGCAAGTTTCTGCCCATGAATAGTAATGAATACAAAAAAGGCTTTGTTCAGGTGTATTTGTTTTTTTTATTGGGGGGGTGGCTCTTTCCATATAACTAGGGAAAAATGAGCTCTTCTCTGTGTTTAGGAATTGAAGACACTTTCAGGACAGCTGCCACGGAAGTAAGTCTGCTTGCGGGAAGTGAGGAGTTTAATGCCACCAAACTGTTTGAAGTTGGTAAGATTTATTTTTTTCTACTTCATCCAAATATTGACTTAGTGCTTTGGAGATTCCTTCTGCCTTTGCAATGCCATCCTTGGATCCATGTAAATCTTTTGTTTTTCTCTTCTGGTGTCCAATTCTCTCAGCATATTTCTCACTCAGGGAATACAATCCAAACAAGAGAGAGTAGTCTGTGCCTCCTACACCAGACTGAGCCCTACAGCACAGCTGTGTGCACCCTGCTCGCTGGACAGCCTCCCTAGCAAGAGACAGACAGAGACCAACCTCTTCTCTTAGCATGGAATCAGCCCACAGTAGGCGCTCATGCCACATGGAATCTGGTTTTCCTCAGCCTTTGCTAAGAGACTGCAATAAAATCAACAAATGGTGCCCTCAGTTCTCCAGCAGAGGGAGGGATGAGCAAAAGAGGAAATTTCCTCAATATTGTGTACTCCCTCTCCCTGCAAGAATATTTTATAAGCCTTGGGACACTCTGGTACTTGTCTGCTAGAAAGTGCTAGAGCACATCAAATAAACATGGACTATACAAAATTATTCAGGTGCCAGGTGCAAGCTTGTCTTCTTGAAAAGAGCTTCATGCAACTCTGCATGTAATTATAATATTGTAGAAGGGTAAAATTCTATTTTGCCATCCACCAATTCTTACTTAGCTTCTTCACTTCCGCTTTCCTCCTCAGCCACAAGTCCTAAGTCCTTTTCCTTTCTCTCTCTGTTCTTTTGTTCATAGCCCAACTGTTTAGGAGTCAATTTGGTAAACAATTATGTTCCTCAAAATGCCTGTAGGGGTCAGATAAGGGTCTCATTAGAACAAATCTAGAATAAAAAGAAAGACACATAAGAAAGTATGTGGGGAAATGGTGCCAACACTTTGATGAAAAGAAAGCCACACTTCCACAGTGGTGGGAGCAGTAGGGAGCACCAGGGACCACAGCAGATTTAGGCATTTCATCCAAAGAGGTCAGCGGTGGCAGAAGGCCCCTATTCGGTGCAATCTGACCTTAAGTATGTGAAGGGACTGGAGTGAGGCAGAGGCCCTGGTAACACAGGGTTTGCACGCTGCCTGGAGTCTCACAGACATGTTTGATTGGATTTGAATACCAACCCAGAGTTGCCAAATATTCTGATTTTCCAAGAGTCCCCAACCCTGGATTTTACTAGAGTCTATCTTAATTTTTTAAATGCTTGATAATAATTTATTATAAAAACAAATCCAATGAGGATGCAGAGGAACAAAGGAAAGGTGGAGAAATCATGACTTGCACAGGGTCAAATTATATAATCTAGTATACGCAGTGCATTAGTTTTCTGATCTGTAACTGTGCCTACCTCTCAGAACTATTGTAGAACAAAGTGAGTTAATATTTATAAAGCACACAGTACATGCCCATCACACTGACACCATATGTAAGTTTGGTTAATTAAAAATAAGTCAATAGATGTCCTACAAGTCCATGAATTATCAGGATCACTGCCCACCCTGGAGGAAGCATACAAATCTATTTTTTGAGGCCTCATGAATTTTGTTTCTGAAGATCTTGTCCTCTGAAGGTGATCCCACAGGCTTTGCAGATACTCCAGAGATTGAACTTTCAATCTTTCAGCAATTGCTTAGCCAAGGGGTGGCAGCCATGGAATTACAGACTGTGGACCCTATGCATTGCACTGTCTGTGTCCTTTCCCTCTTGATC